TTTACAGAAGCGATACCTTTTCCTTACTTCTTTTTATGCATATGCTTTGAAGGAATCACTTTATTTTTTGAAAGCAAAAGGTAAAACTTTTTTTTATAAATATGGACTATTGACTGTCAATGCATGACCGTTTCCATCTTCAAAGAAATACGGCCCAATAGTACCGCTAGAGGATATGGCCCACCGAACAGTCACCTTTGGAATATGGGAAAAGTAGGTAATATGCCCCACTTTGTTTTAAAGTACTATAGAAAAAAATAATTTGACAATATCATCAAGATCTTAATCAGGGGCATAGGTTAGCTCTTTTACAACGTAAAGACACTTGTTACAACGATCTGAATCGTTTAAGCAGATGTTGATTACATATTTTCCAGAACCTTGAGTGTACCTTGAATATATTAATGTAAAGATAAACAATATTTAAAAAAAGGAACAGTCGGATAACTTTAATGAGTATTAGAGCAAGATACGGTATTACTGTTGGAATAAAACTAGAATATAAGTTTGGTGCAAAAATAAAAATAAAATAATAATTCGACACTAAAACAGTTTCGTAAAATGAGTTAGCCTCGGAATATAATAGGGGTGACCCCAAGGTCAGGTCATATGGCTCAAAAGTCAGGTCCGAACAAAAATCGTAGCAACAAGCTTTATTCATTAGGAAATACTGTCAAAATATAAACTCAAAAATAAAAATAACAAGTTACGACAGGTGTTCAAAACGGGAGCCTGCTGTAGACGTGTAGGAATTGATTCGATAACACGTTGCCGCTGAATGGGGTTCGCCTCAATATAATCAAAAGCGTCCCCAATGTACCGCCGGAGATCAGCCAGAGCGTAGGGTCTGCGAGCAAATACGATATCTCTTACTGTACTCCAGAAATAATAGTCCATACATGTTAAATCGGCGATCGGTGGAAGCCTCATTAACGCCCATAGTTTTTCTCCGTACTTGCTGCATTGCCTCTTCCAAATCTTTAGTCGCTCATCACGCAAGTAGCGACTCCCGTTCGTACGAGGGATGTCTTTTAAGTTTTGCGTATGGAAATAAAACAACACGGTAGGTAGTTTTAAATGACTTTATTGTTTTTCGAAGTATTCTCCACGAAGAATAATACACATCTGCATGCGCTCGAACCAATTTTCGAAGCACTTATTCCACTCGTTTGCTGGCAGATCCAAAACGGCATTTTTGAATGCGTCAACTGCTTCTTCTGGTGACTGGAACCTTTGATCACGCAGTCTGTTTTTTATTTTTGGGAAAGTAAAGAAATCGTTAGGACTTAGATCGGGACTATATGGAAGACGGTCCAATAATTTCACGTTTTCTTCCGTTAAATACTGCTTGTTTTTTGGGCTGTGTGCGAGCTTGCATTGTCTTGGTGGAGGATGATTTTTCTTTCGTGGTTGATCTTTCGAAGCTCGGTGATGACTTTTGGCAAACAAATGGTGGTATACTAATCCGCAGTAACAGTTCTTTGCTTATTAACAGGAATTGTTGCAATATGACCCGCTTTTCACACAAATGACACGACTATCTTCGAGAACGGATAACTCTTGTTGGCTTTTATTCACCCAAACAGCCGACTGTCGTTTATTTTCTGGTTCATAACAGTGAATCCACGAGTCATCACCACTCACAATGCTGTACACAGTTTTTTAGTTTCCGGAATTGAAACGGTCAAGCGTTTTTTGACATCAATCAACCCTAGCTGCTTTCTGCTCGTCAGTCAACAGAGTCAACGAGAAACTAATTTTCTTACTTCTAATTCTTCATGTAAATTTTTTTGAATTGAGGTCTTTGAGATCTTGAAGGACGCTTCAATATCGCGATATGTCACATGTCTGTCTTCAATGATGAGTTTGCGCACAGCATCGACGTTTTCCTGGGTGACTGCCGTTTTTGGTGCACCCACCCTGGGATCGTCGCTAAGACTCACCCGTCCACGTTTGAAGTCTCCATACCAATGAGAAATTGTCGACTGATGTCGCGCTTCGTTGCCGAAAACAGACAGTAACTCAGCAAGTCATTCTTGTTGCGATAATTGTCTCTGAAAGTTGTAATAAATTATGGCGCGAAAATGTTCTCGGTTGAGTTCCATTTTTCTAAAGACTTGGTGACTCTTAACAATTCACTGTAGTGAGAACACTGCACGTATCGTTGTGAAACTTTGAATTTAAGTTTACTAAAGAGTGAGGTTAAGATGCAGTACTGACGTTCGATCCGCGCGGCCTGCTATGTTTCTATATGCAAAACTCAAAAGACATCCCTCGTATTTTCGTGACATATTCTGGAATAAAAGAAACTATGAATGTTTGCGATTTTAGTAGTGGGGCAAATAACAAACCATACAATGGTTCATATTGTAAAATATGGTATATAAAATGCCCCACTCAGATCCAAGTAACAAATTCAAGGTTATGTTGTTCGACACACACAGAGCAAGAAATCATGTTTTAGCAAGGTGCACATATGTTTGAAATAAAATAAATGGTATGTAAATTTGTTTGAAACTTACCACAAATTGTCCGACCACTGGAAAACTATTCTCTGCAATATTATTTTAACTAGCTACAACACCGGTATATGAACATAAATCACGTTGTCGACAGACTGACTTCGATGCGTGGATGCTGCTTTGTGCCGAAAAAGTGTGCTTGTGTCAGTGGAGCGCTAGTGGGGCGTTTTGTCAACTGGGGCATATTACCTACTTTTTCCATATGTAGCTGTTGTTGATGATTCTCTTTTGGGTTCGTTGGTTCCCAATATTTGCAATTTTGCTTGCTCGCATAACCGTCTTAGTGAAAATGGGTCTCGTCATTGAAAGCAACGTTCTAGAATCAGCCCTGTGTAGGAAAAAGATTCAACATCCGTTCAGCACAAGATTTTCCTAATACGTAGTCACCTTTCTTTAAAGCTTAGACTGATTCGAATTTATAAGGATGAAAGCCCATTTTTTTCCTTCATTATGCAGTGCATGCATGCAATGTTGACCTAGGGATTCTCAAAGCAACGAAGTGCTTCCGTACAGAACGCAGAGGATTTGCAATAACCAAATCACTTACTCGACGCTCATTTTCTTTGGTTGATACAGTAGGTGTGGCGGGTAATTCAAATTTGAAATGTGAACTTTCCCACTAGACCCCGTATTGTATCCAACGAGTACGTCAAAGTGGTACAGAAATTCGGTAAATAAGAATAGTTACTATAACACATTAGAACAATAGACACATTGGAATGTAAATCGTTAGATCACTAACACTATTGTTGAGGTACTCTTCAAACGAGAAAACACGTTTGATAATAGTAATAATAAATGACTTTATTGAATAAAACAAATCATCTTTTTACAAAGGTAATTTAGAAAAAAAATACATTGCCTAATATTGGCGCAAGTCTAGCTGAAAGCTACTCTACTGAACCAAAATAACACAAAAAAAATAATATTAGTAATAAGTCTTAAACAACAATACAGAATAATCATAATAATAATCACGTGTTAACACTAAATGGACTGAACGTAAATTAAAATTTCAAAAAGATATTAATTAATACTGGTCACTATAAAATTTGGTTACTGGTTACTATAAAATTTGTTTGAGATATTTTTTCTACTTATATATCTATATTATAAACTTCAATCTCTATTCTAAAAAAGTTTGTTCAGATTTGTGTTTAGCAAATATTTCTTATATTGTATTTTAGAACTTGAAAGTGAAAGATTAAGGAACTGGTTGGGAATTGTATTAAATTGTTTAACAGCATCGTATGAGAATGGTCGTTGGAACAATGCACTACTATGAAGCGGCATAGTTAATTTTTTTAAATATCTTACATTTATATCATGAACAGAATGTCGGAAAATTGAGCGTTCTCTTATTGAATCAGGTGAAGCTGGAGTGTTTATTATTTTTAATAAAAAACTAGAAAAATGGAGAGTGCGATGCTCATTCATTTTAAGCCATTAAATTTCTTTATACAAATAAGATAACCAAAACCCATAGTCAAAATCGCAATAATTGAAATTGGAAAGAATTAGGGATTCACACAATTTTTCTTTAGTGATCTGTTTAGTATGTGTCTGTTATTTTACAAAACTTTTAGAGAACAAAATGATTTTTGCATAAGATTTTTTAGGTGATCTTTATATCTAAGCTGAGAATCTAAAACTATACCAAGAGTTTTTGTACTTTCAACAAAATTTTTAATGAATTGAGATTAGCTTTCAAAAACTGAGTCTTAGATTTGTTACCAAAAATCATTACATGCGATTTTTCCGGATTAAGTTGTGACCTAATGAGAGATTGTTCAAGGTGTTAATGTCCTCATTTATACAGTTTTCGTAACATTTGTAATCCTCAATATCAAAAAAACAATAAACCTGGGTGTCATCCGCGAAGGCCTGAACTTTACAAAACTTTAAAGACGTAAGGATATCAGATGTATAAATTAAAAAATAAATAATTTTTTTTTAGTGTTAGCATAAACATGATGTTTCTGGTTCCCTTATGTTATTTGGTAGCACATTGAAAGAACTATGATGTAGCAATTGCGTTCATTTCTAGATATTGTCATTCTCTGATTCTTCAACTGGAAATTTTCTTTGTTTATTGTATAGTTGCCGTAGAAATCCGCATTTCTTGCATATTCTGATCTATTCTGCTTAATACAAATGTAACTGAGACATGCTAGGATAAATACACATGGAAATATCAGAACGCATAACAAAACGAAAGCTTCCCTACATCCCTAAATTCTAAATTAGTAAGAATTCTGATGCATCTCCTTCAAAGTCCAAAAACCTGTTTGGCATAGGTAGGGTGACCCCCCTTGAATACAGCATACCTCATTGCTGGAGTGAAAGGTAGTAGCAGGCAAGCAGCGTCGGTTAGGTCACCATTTATGATAAATTTAAAATAAACATAATTTTTGTCAGTTCATATACATGATGTTCCCAGGTCATTTGTGAATCAAGATGGATACCAAGAAATTTTACAATCTTCTTACTACTTCTCTGTTGCTTTATCACCATTTAGATTTAACATTTTGCTCGCTGTTATAAGCTACAGCTATATTATTTGATCGTTTCATTCTGGTTGTATCATTTGCATACAGAATAAACTTAGATTGAGGATCACCGTTCTCAATATCATTTATATAATTTATGTGGAACCTAGCAGTAATTAGCAAATAAAGACAATGTTGCGATGCTATAAACTGTTCTCACTTAAGTTTCGATAACATGTAGATACCAACACGATATAAAAGTACAGGGTAATGTCGCAGCGCAATGGCAGTTGATCTTACTGGACGCTCACCAAGCAGATTGAAATGAACTTTTCACACAGTAGCCTTTCACCATTTACGTGTCAGGATGGAATGGTTGTAACCAACTCAAAAGCTAAGGCTCCACCATGGACGTCTCCACCAACGCACAAGTGACGTCGACTCAAAGGGATTCCTACACTATGAGGGAGATAAGATTCAGGTTAAGATGGGTACCTTTGTCGCTCGACATCAACAACACTTCTGGTGGTCCGGACTTGATTCCTGCCGTTGTATTGAAAAGGTATGCAGTGAAGCTTGCTCCAGTTCTTTCGCGTCTCTTCCAGATATCGTACGAATCCGGAAATTATGTCATAACCAACCCATCTCCCCCCAAAAAAAGGATCTAAGACTGACCTTTACAGCTTATAGACCTGCTTTCTGTTTTAAGTAAGGTGATGGAAAGGTGCATACATCGCTAGCATCGGTACTACCTCGAACGTCGAAGCTCATCTCGTTAATGACGGCAGCTGCTAGAAAAAATTTAGGTCATTTGTTTAGGGCTAAGAAGTACTTTTCTCCGCATGACCACCTCACTATACAAGGCCCAAATAAGATCTAGCCTTAGGCAGTTCAAAAATCGGATTAGCAGAATTTTTTGGGAATCCCTATAGCAGCAGCGGTGTCCTGGAATTTAGGCTGCTGCCTGCGTGGTTGCTTCGGTATAAAAAAACCTGAGCCACTATGTAGATACCTCAGCCTTGACACTTGGCAATAGGTAATGGAGTATCAGAGAATGCCGAACCAGTAAGAAGAGGCGTCAGCTTTACGGCGAGGACCAGGGCACCTTTGCCTAGACAAAATGAATAATAGGCAAGAAATAGATCAAGTTCAAATGCCTAGGGTTCTGTGTAAAAATACCGACATATTGAATTTGTTGAGTCGTTGGCGCGATGTCTCGGTTGTCTGTCAATCGTAATATATTCGGTTTCAAGGCGCCGGGATTTCGTGACAATATGGGTGCTAAGCGTTGATCGTGTTCGCTAGAAAAATCCGCTATTTGATATAAAATCGATAATATGCATCTGAGATAACGGTATGCCTAGACAGGAATAAAATGGGATTTCTTTTTTTTTTCGATTAACGCCATCAGGGATAGCTTATAACGAGCCCCAATAGAAAATCGATACCGTCATGTGGAGGTAATTTGCATTTTGTAATAAAGTTATCTGAGTGGCAAACGGATTATACTTCCAAGCTTTCATACGAGGTGACCAGATTTTTCCAGAAAATCGAGCTGTAATTGCCTTCTTTAGAAGAATGGCATAAACCGTATTAATGGGCGAAAAGGGTAGATACAATCAGATGCCAACGGTGTATAAGCCATGCCCAACTAACAATTATCACTCCTATTTGAGTTGCAAGAATGATTATACAGTATTCCTTAAACAGCATTGTATACTGTAAGAACATTAGCAGAACCTTCTTAGAATAGCTATACAAGCGGAATGGCCACACCTAATAGGACACTTCAGTCATTTAAGAGGTTGCATAAGGGCTGCAGGTAACAGTTATAAAACAAAAGTGTAAGCCTCTTGCAGCCGCTATAGGACATTTGCGTCAGTGCAAGATTCAGTTTTTGTCAACTATACAACTATTCTCTTACGTGATTCTACTTTATTGCAACCAAAATGTTTCCTATGTATTGTATAGACGAAGTGAAGAATATATAACTAACACATTACAGTCATCTTGTTTACTTACATATCGGCCATTGTGAATTTCATACACAGGTATATGATAAACTTCCACACTTTGATATAGGGCTGTTGAATTACTTGCGCAGCAAATTTTATTGTGATTATCGTGCAAATTAGTTACCCAATTTCTACGGGTTTCGTATTTTATTCATATTTTGACAATGATCAATAGTATGTCTAGATTTTTAAGGTGGAAAACTGAACTTATCTGCGTTAAATCTTCCACAAATCCTATATTTAGACACAATTGCACTAATGTTTATCACTTTATATTTGTAATTTCGAACTGAAACATAATTATTTAATAATAAATAGAGGAATAAATGTTTGCCCAATATGGCGGGTGGTTGTGTACAATCATGGCATCGTCCATGTTGTCTTTAGGTTATTAGAACATTTTGGTGTTGCCTGCAGGTGTTATACAAAAATTTGACAAATGTCTCAAATGAAATACTGACAGAGTCGAATGATTTACCCAGAATTTGTACCAGATCTATATCTTCTGCTTGAACAGTTGATAAATCCTTTTGAACCGATATGCATGCGTTGTTTGTCTTAAAACATTGGTTATGGCATTTTAACAAAAACACGACAGCAGAAAGTTAGGTTATGGTGAAGTTGTTTACCAACATATTTAGCATATGTAACAGTTGTATAAGTGCTTCCGTTGGGAGCAATTTGTTGGCTAATGTAGTAAATTGCACAGCAAAGCAACAAGGCTCAGGTTTGTTTTATAAACGTTAGCATGGGTGCCACAACACAACCATTTTGACTAACTTGCAAATATGCCGTATAAAATAGTTGTATAAACGTTTATGCAACAGCTAAAAATTTGCCCTATAAGGTGTTGTATAACTATACTATAAGAATATTTTAAACAGTTTATTTTAGAGCAAATATGTTGCAGAAAGCAAATTTGCATTCCACGCAACATTAAGCCAGCATTTTGGTGTTCAGGCAACAGCAATAGAGAGCTTTTATGGCTGAACGGTTCCTTTACCAAAAGCTTATCCCACTATTTTGCTAGTTGGGTGTGCCCCTCTGTGCCTTTTTTATAGTAGGCCATCTGGTGTTTACCACAAAGATGAAAGTTGGTACAGTTGCAGGCACCTACCAAGATTTACTCTCGGACAGGCATATCTTCTAACCCTGAAAGCGAAATCCAATAGGAACGCTCGAGGTGGTGGAGGGTTGTACTTAATGCCATGTTATTGTTTCAATTGGCAGTGACGTTCCTTGAATATTTTTCACGTTGGTCATATGAACTTGAGAAAGTATCTTCAAGCAAAGTGAACCATCTGCTTAACTAAAAAAAAATCATTACTTTTGCTTGCGCTTAGGTGAATAATGAAACACTTGTATCCGCTATATTTATTACTATTATTAGATACATATGTACAAATTACGATTAAACAAAACAGACTTAATACGAATCAATCTAAAAACCATTCACAGAAGTCCGCAGCTTGATACTCGTATAAAAAAATTAACAAAGGTCAGTTCAGTTTGAAAGCGTAATGCTTACCTAAATATATCCTAAACATGGATATATCTAATAGGATAATCACCTTTAAACTGCAAAATAAAAAAATTAAACCATTATCCTGCTTGTAAACGCATACTAGATTTCCTTAGGAGGGTAAGGCGTAGCTATCCTCAACATCACTGTCACTATCACTATCATCATCCCCGATGTTAATAATAAATTCTTCAGATGTGACATCTCCTTCATGTTCCCGTTCCAGATATTCCTTTGCAATTTTGATGACATGATCACATCGTTTCTTCCAATCATCTGGTGTTACCTTTGAAAATTCCTCCTCCGCTATTCGCTGTGCGTCATCTAAAGTAAATGTGACATTTCGATCTGCAACTCTGTTCTTCACTGTAGCCCATATCAATTCAGTGGGATTTAAATCGGGATGATACGGAGGTAGTCGTATAACTGTGTGTCCATGCATGCATAAGAGTACATCATATTTATACTGTACGAATTGTTGCTTATTTTGCTTTATCGATTCATAAAGTTGTGGTTTCTCCATAATCGCTCTGAATCTAATATTTTTAGATACAAGCCAGTTACCATTACTTGCTTCGGAGCGTTGCAGTTTGGTGCAGATCCACTTTTTTGTTGTGATAAAGTGCATTATCAGTAACTATCACAGAATTTGGTGGGAAATTCGGAATAGGCGAATTTCTCGTAATTTGAGCTATTAATCTCGTCGTGATAATCTCCGCTCTTTGTACCTGATTTAAAATTCAATAAACCGTCATTTATGAAGCCGTCGGAACTACCTGGATGGATCATAATTAGCCGCTTTCCTTTGGATATTTTGGAAAAGAGACCCCATTTACCATCAACCCAACTTTAGTAGTATATCCGGCATGTATGTAGCGCTCGTCTACATAGGTATATAATTTTGCGGCCTTGTTCTCGGAAGTACCTTATTTTCCGTAGATAGCTGATTCTTAATTGACGAATGTCCCATTTCTTGATAAGTACTTTTCTATTATTCTGTGTTTTTTTCCATTTGAAGCCGAGTTGTTAAACGATTCTTCTCAACGATTTTTCGCCATCATGCCAATCGAAATCTTCTTCTAGTTTCTTTCTAAGCGCTCCGATTGTTACTCGAGACGAGTTTGTTAAATTGAAATTATAGATAATGTTTCTTATATCTGCAGTAGTCAAATTCAAATTTGCGCATTCGTGCACCAGAAAACGTTGCTCATTCTTGTACATCACTTCCGACATTATTAACCTTTTCAACAATGCGAGTAATACTGGTAATTGATACTCCTGTTGCTTTACCTACTTCACCTTTAATCTCTGTCATATTTTGAGAACAGTCACGGCCAGTTTTCAAATTGAGAATGTATTGGTATACATTGTATACGTCCTCACTCGTCTGGTTGGACAAAACTTTATTTCTACCCAGTTTACTCATAATAGAAGATCTATAAACAAAACGTGCGCTTCAGCTTTAGCTGTAGGCATCAGTCGGCACTC